TCCTCAATATGCTGAGGTGTGTCAAAGCTATCGGGCACCACGAGCTACAACTCCCTCAGTCGACCTGAAATATTATGTCGAGTCGACTGGATCGTACTCAACCGTTAGTATGTAACACCCCGCTTTTCCATAAATATCAGAGTGCGTAACTCGCAATTTTATTGAAAACAACATCATTTTTACATTGCGAAATACTGATTCGGAGTGCTACTAAAATACATAACTGACTGAAAAGTCTGAAACTTTTGATTTACAAAAGTTAACTAATGCATGACTGATAAAACTAGACGAATTCACTGTTGCAGAACTGATAATGGACTGCGGTTGAACCAACAGTGAATCGTCCTTAGCTTGCTGACTGATAATGGGCTAAGTATGACAAACGGCCATACATCAGCGGAAGCTGTAGCTGGGAATTTGGTTAGCAATGCCGTAGTCATGAAAACATTTTATCTGAAAGAAATAACGGCTTTGCTATGCCAAATTCTAACTGTACAAAACGTAATTTAATCTTTATAAGCATAAAGCTTAGGTAATTTAAACTTTATAAGCATAATCCCGAACAGCTCCGTCATCTCACTCCTCCGACCCGACCTCATAACCTGAAAAACATGAAATACGTGGGGGCGTGAGTACTATAAACACTGTACTCCGCAGAAACTCATACTAAAGTAAAACATTAATAATAATTGCAATATCATGATCTAAAGCATATATAACTGAACTGTCATGTCATGTACTGTAACTGCGATCAACCGTAACTGCTACGGGATCGAATGCTGTATCTGGCGGCTATAATATGCTGCGCCGCGCCTATGTGCACACTCTAGTGGGCAGATTACGCCACTAGAACTCAGATGGTCTTACTTTGTCTAGCCTCACTGAGCAGGAACTGAACATACATACCTTGAACATGATGACTGTAATTATACTCAATGTAATACTTAGTCTGAGTCCCCACCTGAACTGCTGAGTTGAAAATGTAAGTGCTGATATTTGCATCCTGATCAAACTGAAAATAATATAAACAATTACTAATTACTATGCTCAGACTGATAAAATAACTGATTAACATGTTAAGATGCTCTACTGGACTTTAAGAGGATATCTGTATTTAACCGGTACAACCGGAACTGACTAAACTCGGAACTGGACTGACATAAATTTACTGAATTGGTCTGGACCCGGAATTTAACTGAAATTGGGACTTGGACATAAACCGGGGCTTTACATTTTTAAAATACGAACTAAACCGTATAAGATGGAACTGAAATTACTCAACTTTGCACCTTGAACTACACAAAACCGTGACGGTCACTCCGTGCACCACCGACGGTAATAAGCCGACACTCGACCCAATATACGTACTTTGGCCCACATATACTAGACTGAACTTAGGGTACTTCTTCATGAACAATTAAACATAAATACTTGACATAACATTCTTGACATAACTTATACATAATCACTGAAATTACTTAAAATTATCTCCTTTACTCAAGTATCCGGGAGAAGCCCGTGGCAAACACATCGTGTGCTGCCAACGACAATGGCCGTTGCCCGGCCTTTCTATACCTCTCGTCAACACCATAACAATCATACATGAATAATATTCTTAAGCTATTAAAACATGTCGTGAATGAACGACCGAGACCATAATTTTTAGCAACAGAACATAATAACCGACAGTTCGGGACATGCGCGATGTGCGCCGCCCTCTACTCGGCCGATTACCGACCGACTCAAACAAAACTTCAGCCTCTTAATACTCTTGAACACTTAATTACATAATCAATACTTTAAGGTTGTAGTAATGACATACACAACATAACCTGTCCATAAGTGCAACTATACCTTAACCCAATGCGGCCCGCGGTCACGCGCGATGTGCGCGGC